GTGTATATATATATATAGATAGATATGTAGCGAGCGCTGATATGAAAAATCAAAGCTGCTAGTACAAGAGACAGTGATGACAAATCTCACAATAGAATATACATATAAAGTGCAATGCTGAATATTAAATAATTGAAGGAAAAATATATCACCAGTGCAAATTGGATAATGTAAATTTCTCAATCAAACATATATGCAAAAATAGTCAATATGTAACTAAGTGGTGTGATGAACAAATATAAATCTATCCAAAAAAGTGACAAAAAAAAAGTCAATGTGACTAAACAAGCAATGTGTCTGTGGCACTACAAGACACAGCAGTATCGTGTTCAATTCCAAGCAGGTGCTGTGAAATCCAGTGAAACAGTCCACCACTGCTATGCACTCACCAGAAAGCTACTGGTATAGTAGCAATGACATTGATCCCTCAAATAGAGACTCAGAATCTTTGATCAAAAGGACTTCTCCTAAGGAAGAAAGCTCACCACAGGAGCCCAGAAATCGATATATAGTGTAGTACTTTGTTTAAAATAGATCAAACACAATCCACGTGGAAGACTGGACAAACATGTAACAAACCAGTAGAATGCACCAAAGGAAATATTTTTAGGTTGCTAAATTCCAATTCAATAGCTTTAAATATAATGCTCAGCACAGAACAGTTATGCCAACTAGATAAATAAGAGTCACAATGATGTTTTTTTCCAAAATCCCAAACAACTAACTTACAGATATTAAAGCATATATATTTACTGTATAACTTTGTCCGAGTCTATATATATATATATATATATATATATATATTTTTTTTTTTTTTTTTTTTTTTTTTTTTACATATATATTTGTGTTTGTAGCCCATGAGACCCTAGTGAATAAGATACCTTTTTTACACTTTTAACTCCTATAGTGGTAACCTTGGAAGTGTGTCCATGTGTGCATTAAGGAGCAAATCATCTAGAATTGTTCCTGATCTCAGTGGCACACAACATACTGCATACACAAAGCTTGGACATCAAATACAAATACACCAATTAAATTAATTAATATTTCAACTTTCACTGTGTGATGAGACACCTAGATAACAGGTGGGAAGCCTCACCTTCATCATTCACTGCATGCGCTGCTAGTAATGTGGAGTCATGTCAGAGCTTACTGAGTTTCAAAGAGGTAAAATTGCTGTTGACCGCTTAGCTGGTGCCTCTGTGACTGAAGTTGCCAATTTATTTGCGGTGTTGCGAGCAGGGGCGGACTGACAACTCATGGGGCTCCCGGGCAATAGGGGACCATGGGGCCACTGTGTCCTTGCCCAAACTCAAAAAAGCCTATGAAAAAGGTACCAGGGGAATCTCATGGGGCCTCCTTCTGACCCCGGGCCCTCGGGCAGTGCCCGAGTTTCCAAATGGTCAGTCCGCCCCTGGTTGCGAGTTACAGTCATCTGATAAGCATAAGCATGGTCAACATGGTCAACTGACTGAAAGAGACAAAAGAACACAGCTGCTGCACCAAACCACCAGCGACTGATATTAATGTTCGGAAGAAGAGAGAGTGGTGCAACATCCATAAATCATGGACTATCGATCAATGGAAAACTGTAATATGGTCTGATGAATCAAGTTTCACATTATTCCCATCCACTAGACGTGGTTACGTGTGTCCAAGCTTTCAACCAGGACTGTCTTGTACCAATGGAAAAGCATGGTGTTGGCACAACCATGGTTTCAGCAGCCAGATCTTGGTATTCTGCAGGCCCAATCATCACTTTGAAATGTAAAGTCACTGCCAGTGGTTATGTACAAATTTTGGCCGCCCATGTGCACCCCAAGGTGTAGACACAGTTTCCCAAAGCCAGCCCATTTATCAAGACGATAATGCTTTGATTCACACAGCTAGTGTTGTCAAACCATGGTTTGATGAACAAGCACAGTGTCGCACCTTTCCTGGGCGCCTCATTGGCTGGACCTAAATATCATAGAGTCACTATGGTCAATTTTATAGAACAAGGTTCAGGTTCGTTTTCTGCCTCTGGCATCTCTGCAAGAACCGGAATGCTGTTTGCATGGGGAGTGGCACCAGCTTCCATTATCCATAATCCCAGACTTTTATTTGTCAATCCCCAGGAGAATTCAGGCCATCTCAAATGCCAAAGGTGGTCCAACACCATGTTAGATTATAATTCCATTCTTTTACCTGGTGTTTCCATCATTTTGTCCAACCCCTGTACATATAGGCATGACACACAGTGTTGTTTGTTTTTTTCCCACCCAAACCAATTCTATTCTTTTTAACCCTTTCTGTTTTTTTAACAATTATTGGATTTTGGGTGTACAACACATGGACGAAAAAATGAATCTAAATATTTTGGGTGCATGTGGTACACCCTGCCCCCCCCCCCCCCCCCCCCTTCATCCCCGCAGGTCAGTGGCTATGTTTACCACTAAACTGGAACTTTTTTACTAATTGATGCTAGCAGATCACCAGCAATGTCAACAAGATGGTATTTTGCTTGATTGTAAATGCTATGGCTCATTCATAGCAGATCAAAAGGCTAGCCTGCTAACCTATGATCTGAATAACATGTCATGTAATTTAACCTTGCATATATATATATATATATATATATATATATATATAAACGTTCCTATTTAAAAACTTGTTAACCCTTAATTAACACACATTAGCCCTAATTAACTCATTTCTCCACTTCTCCCTTTAGCTATTATTTTGCCTTTTTTCTTTCTATTTTTCTTTTCAGTTAGCTTTGTCTCTTAAGTCATTTCAGTAATGTAAACACAAAACTGAAATGAAAAGCCTGTATTTCATTTGTAAATAACTTTGCTATGCTTTGTAAAAGAAATGTGATTTAGTGCAATTTCAAACAGGCAAAAAATAGAATAAGTGTGCACTTTTTATCCAAAGGACACTAGTAAAATTTGAAAAAAAAAATATTTTCTGTTATTTTTTAATAACCTTTGTCTGCATAAAAAAAATTGTTTTTGCAAGACAATAGGGTTGCATTAATAAAGGCAAATAGAGTTTGCACTTTGCAGATGCAGTTGGACTCATTTTTCCCAGAGCTTAGTGAATGTGGCGAAGTTTCAGGTTGTAAAGAATACCCAATCAGGTGCAAGGAAAACTAAAAAAAATGCATTTTTTGCTTTGCCTTTAGTAAATCAACCCCAACATTAGCAAAGTAAAGCCCTGTTTAGTGAAAAAAAAACATACACGTATTACTTTGTCATCTTAAGTAATAAAGTTATTGCTGAATCCATAAACTCCGAGCTGAAATATAAAAATGCTCTGGTCGAAAAGGAATATATGGGTGTGAGATCTGTATTGGTTAGATTGTTAACATATAAAGAAATCATCTACATAAGATGTTTTAAATAAGACAAATACATTTCAAGGAAAACGTTTATTAAACCCTTGACGTTAACTAAATTTCTGCATGAACAGCTCCGAAAGTCAGCTACAGTAAGTCATAGTAGAAAATACATTTCTTTAATTAAACTTACTTTTTAAACATTCTTAAGCCAGGCTGAAAGAAGTGAACCCCTTATTTTATTTATAGCAGCTATAAATCACCACCAAATGTTTTCTGTGGCTGCTGATCATACTTGGTTAATGGTTCATAAGAACTTAACACCAGTTTAAGACCATTCATCCTTGCAAATCTTTATAATTTAAATGTATAAATCTGAAGGAACATTTGACATTCCACAATATACAAGAACAGGAACATTTTTCAAAACATCATTTTTATAATAAAAATCGGTCTCTGAGCTTTAGGAAAGCGACTGTGTCTAAGAGGTACAATCAGGGAAAAAGATGTAATCTATCTGTGCAGGCAAAGACTTTCCACAGTATTTTCTTCACCACAGATCAATCTGACATTATCCATGTTATGTGAGAGGCATCAACAGGGAGCATATCTGCGTCAGACATACATACATAACCCAAAACGTAAAAAGTACTGACAAGCACTAGGCTATACATCATTATGTCATCTAAGTGAAAGGACTTTACTCCAAGAAATAGATTCTGACCCTGTATGATGCCCAAATTTGCCTTCTGAGGAGAAAGGAAGATAGAGGCATTGCCAAGAGTAGTACTGTCACATTACATACCCTGTATGCAGGTGATATAAACCATATACAGGTATAAATCACTAAATAAGGGGTTTCTTTAGAAAAAAAAAAAACCTCACGTAGCCATCACAAATAATCATCACTCCAATGTGTCTAAAGTGTATTTCCTATGATTAATAGCTGTATCTAATGGCCATAATGCTATATTTTCCTGATTGCGGTATTTCAGAAAAATGCCACATTAGGGCAATGAATCAGAGCTGAGGATCTTAGGAAGTAAATATATTAGACAATTTATGGAAGTTATTAGCAATGACTGTGCGAATACTGAGGCATTATTACATTTACATTATTACATTATTACACAGCTATATTTAATTTTGTATTTGAATTTACATATCCTTTAATAAAGACCTCATGTCATGTCACAGCTTCTCAGCTGGGCAGGGGTATGGAGTCTGACTTTGTCATTGCAGAGTTCAAATTTACTGTTGCTTGTTGTTAATTTAGAATGGGGTTGATTTACTAAAATTGGAAAGTAAATAGTAAGTAGAGATGAGCGAATCGAACATGACGAAGTGGAATTAGTTCCGAAGATTTGGAAAAATTCTATTCGCGACGAATCCGAAGATTAGCAAACTTCGGATGCACGAATCGAATTTTCCCAAAAATGGCGGCGACATGTGTGGCGACAGAGAAGATGGGGCGGGGATCTCTGGGAAGGCGCGCAGACAAGGCGCGCTGACCCATAATGCATTCATGACCCATAATGCATTCATGACATGTGATCGCATTAGCCAATCAGCAGCCAGCCAGCACTGTGTAATGGTGGAGCTATAAATCGCGGCCATCTTAGAATTCTCCATTAGCCTCCGGTCATTCAAGAGAGACAGACCTGTGTGTATTAAGGGACAGAGTTAGGGCCACAGAGACTTTAGGGCCACAGAATCGTTACTCAGGGACACAGAATCGTTTCTGCTTCACAACCACTATTGTACGTTCAAAGAGTTTAGATCCATTTACACGCCGGATGGCGGTAATTTTTTTTTGGGTGATTAGTGCATTCCAGTGACATAAACGTACAGTTTCCAGCCAGCGGCAAGCTGCAATTGACCGATTGTGCTAAATAAACTGACTTTCTGCTTCACAACCCACTATTGTACGTTCAAAGAGTTAGATCCATTTACACGCCGGGTGGCAGTAAATTTTTTTGGGTGATTAGTGCATTCCAGTGACATAAACGTACAGTTTCCAGCCAACGGCAAGCTGCAATTGACCGATTGTGCTAAATAAACTGACTTTCTGCTTCACAACCACTATTGTACGTTCAAAGAGTTAGATCCATTTACACGCCGGGTGGCGGTAATATTTTTTGGGTGATTAGTGCATTCCAGTGACATAAACGTACAGTTTCCAGCCAACGGCAAGCTGCAATTGACCGATTGTGTACAATAAACTGACTTTCTGCTTCACAACCACTATTGTACGTTCAAAGAGTTAAATCCATTTACACGCCGGCTGGCGGTAATATTTTTTGGGTGATTAGTGCATTCCAGTGACATAAACGTACAGTTTCCAGCCAACGGCAAGCTGCAATTGACCGATTGTGCTAAATAAACTGACTTTCTGCTTCACAACCACTATTGTACTTTCAAAGAGTTAAATCCATTTACACGCCGGCTGGCGGTAATATTTTTTGGGTGATTAGTGCATTCCAGTGACAGAAACGTACAGTTTCCAGCCAACGGCAAGCTGCAATTGACCGATTGTGCTAAATAAAACTGACTTTCTGCTTCACAACCACTATTGTACGTTCAAAGAGTTAAATCCATTTTACACGCCGGCTGGCGGTAATATTTTTTGGGGTGATTAGTGCATTCCAGTGACAGAAACGTACAGTTTCCAGCCAACGGCAAGCTGCAATTGACCGATTGTGCTAATATAAACTGACTTTCTGCTTCACAACCACTATTGTATGTTCAAAGAGTTAGATCCATTTACACGCCGGGTGGCGGTAATATTTTTTGGGTGATTAGTGCATTCCAGTGACATAAACGTACAGTTTCCAGCCAACGGCAAGCTGCAATTGACCGATTGTGCTAAATAAAATGACTTTCTGCTTCACAACCACTATTGTACGTTCAAAGAGTTAAATCCATTTACACGCCGGCTGGCGGTAATATTTTTTGGGTGATTAGTGCATTCCAGTGACAGAAACGTACAGTTTCCAGCCAACGGCAAGCTGCAATTGACCGATTGTGTACAATAAACTGACTTTCTGCTTCACAACCACTATTGTACGTTCAAAGAGTTAAATCCATTTACACGCCGGCTGGCGGTAATATTTTTTTAGGTGATTAGTGCATTCAGTGACATAAACGTACAGTTTCCAGCCAACGGCAAGCTGCAATTGACCGATTGTGCTAAATAAACTGACTTTCTGCTTCACAACCACTATTGTACGTTCAAAGAGTTAAATCCATTTACACGCCGGCTGGCGGTAATATTTTTTGGGTGATTAGTGCATTCCAGTGACAGAAACGTACAGTTTCCAGCCAACGGCAAGCTGCAATTGACCGATTGTGCTAAATAAACTGACTTTCTGCTTCACAAACCACTATTGTACGTTCAAAGAGTTAGATCCATTTACACGCCGGGTGGCGGTAATATTTTTTGGGTGATTAGTGCATTCCAGTGACATAAACGTACAGTTTCCAGCCAACGGCAAGCTGCAATTGACCGATTGTGCTAAATAAACTGACTTTCTGCTTCACAACCACTATTGTACGTTCAAAGAGTTAGATCCATTTACACGCCGGGTGGCGGTAATATTTTTTGGGTGATTAGTGCATTCCAGTGACATAAACGTACAGTTTCCAGCCAACGGCAAGCTGCAATTGATCGATTGTGCTAAATAAAATGACTTTCTGCTTCACAACCACTATTGTACGTTCAAAGAGTTAAATCCATTTACACGCCGGCTGGCGGTAATATTTTTTGGGTGATTAGTGCATTTCCAGTGACAGAAACGTACAGTTTTCCAGCCAACGGCAAGCTGCAATTGACCGATTGTGTACAATAAACTGACTTTCTGCTTCACAACCACCCATTGTACGTTCAAAGAGTTAGATCCATTTACACGCCGGGTGGCGGTAATATTTTTTTGGTGATTAGTGCATTCCAGTGACATAAACGTACAGTTTCCAGCCAACGGCAAGCTGCAATTGACCGATTATGCTAAATAAACTGACTTTCTGCTTCACAACCACTATTGTACGTTCAAAGAGTTAGATCCATTTACACGCCGGCTGGCGGTAATATTTTTTTGGGTGATTAGTGCATTCCAGTGACATAAACGTACAGTTTCCAGCCAACGGCAAGCTGCAATTGACCGATTGTGCTAAATAAACTGACTTTCTGCTTCACAACCACTATTGTACGTTCAAAGAGTTAAATCCATTTACACGCCGGCTGGCGGTAATATTTTTTGGGTGATTAGTGCATTCCAGTGACATAAACGTACAGTTTCCAGCCAACGGCAAGCTGCAATTGACCGATTGTGTACAATAAACTGACTTTCTACTTCACAACCACTATTGTACGTTCAAAGAGTTAGATCCATTTACACGCCGGGTGGCGGTAATATTTTTTGGGTGATTAGTGCATTCCAGTGACATAAACGTTACAGTTTCCAGCCAACGGCAAGCTGCAATTGACCGATTGTGCTAAAAAAACTGACTTTCTGCTTCACAACCACTATTGTACGTTCAAAGAGTTAAATACCGGTTTTATTTTTGGGGTGCTTATTGAATTAAAGAGTATGTCAGACAACACGCAGAGGAGTGGCAGAGGAGGCAATGTTTCAGGAGAGCGAGCAGAACGTGGCAGCAGAGGAAGGGGTCGAGGCAGCACTAGTCGCAGCCAGAGGCCAGTGCTCCCGGTGTCATCCAGCGGTCGTGTCTCCACCGACAACCCTGCCGTCATCGATTGGTTGACTCGGTCGTCTTCCTCTTCCCAGGTCACCTCTGACACCTACAGCCAATGGTCGGTGGGTACGTCAGACACAACCGTTAGTTGGCATGGCCCGGGAGCAAGCCCACTGAAATCACGTGTCCTCGGACCTGCCCCTGTCCTTTGCTGTTCCCTCACCAAAGCGAAGTATCGCATGCTGTGGGCTCAGCCCCACTGTACAGTGAGGAAGAGCTAACAGAGGGCACGGTCAGGAACGAGGGGAGACATCCGTCTCTTCAGCAGCCAGGCGAAGAAGTACTGGCGAGGAGAGTGGCTCGGTAGCCGGTCTAGAGAGACAGGTCTGTCTCCTGACCCACACGCAGCCGAGGGGGCTAGTAGTGACGCGGAGACCCCTAATTGATGATGATGATGGGCTGATCGCACTTGGCAGCCTCGTCGTCATCAGGCTATTGCTTCCGCATCATTAGGAGAAGAGGGATCTGCCAGCTTGGCAGCGAGCAAAATCAGTCGGTGGGTTGCCCAGGAGGCAGCAGGGTCGCAGCAGTGTCAGTGAAGCCAAAACGGCCACGGAGGCCACGGAGTAGAGCACCAGCTCCACTGCAGCCTACCACCACGGCCAGTAGTGGTGCCGGTGTGCACGGAGAAAGTAGCAGTCAGCCAGTGAGGAGTAGCGGGGGCAAAGTTTCCTACTCGGCGGTGTGGCAATTTTTTCGTCACGCCGCCCGAGGAAGTAAACGTAGCCGTATGTCGACTATGTGGCCAGAAAGTCAAGCGTGGCCAGGGGGGCCAATGTTGGGACTACAGCGTTGCGTCAGCATATGCAGCGTCGCCATTCGGTGGCCTGGGAAAACACCGTGATAAAGATACGGCGTTCTGCCTTGCCCCAGCCCCCGCTCCATCACCCGCTCCATTACTTGCTCCGTCACCCGACGTCAATCGCCCTCTATCAGCCAGTCAAGGCTCCTCAACACCTCTGCTGAGGGGAGTTGTCGCTCGTTGGCCTCTTCCGCTCGTTCAGATGCTCCTTCTTCTGCTACTCCTCTTCACGGATTCCCGTCAGCAGTCTTTCTTGGAATCCGTTTCCAAGAGACAACAGTTTGCGAGCATGCACCCGACGGTGCAGAAGCTGAACTTCCTCCTGTCCAAGTTGCTGGTGCTGCAGTCCCTCCCTTTCCAAGTGGTGGACTCAGCACCTTTCCGAGAAATGATGGCTTGTGCCGAGCCGCGCGTGGGAGAGTGCCCAAGCCGGCATTTTCTTCGCCAAAAAGGCAGTGCCAGCCCTGCATTCACATGTAGAAGAGATGGTGGGCCAGTCTTTGAGCATGTCAGTCTCTGCCAAAGTGCACGGCAGCGCCGACGTGTGGAGCTGTAACTACGGTCAGGGACTACAGTACATGTCATTTATGGCCCACTGGGTGAACGTGGTGCCGTCACAGCCGCACCAGCAACTTGGACAGGTCACGCCGCTTTTGCCTCCACGTTTGCACGTCCTTGGTCCAGCAAAGATGTCCGCCTCTACCACCTCTTCTTCCGCCGTGTCCTCAGCCGCCACCACCCCCGTGCCAAGTCCCATTACCCGACCGGCATATCACATGTGCAGGGCGCAACGGTGTCACGCTGTGCTGCACCTGGTATGCCTTGGCGAACGTAGTCACACAGGGGAGGAACTTCTGAGTGTAATGAACAGAGAAAATCGACAGATGGCTGTCTCCGCGCAAACTGAAAATCGGAACCATGTTGACCGACAACGGAAAGAACATGGTGTCTGCTCTGCGTCAAGGAAGGTTGTGCCATGCGCCATGCATGGCTCACATGTTCAATCTGGTTGTCAAGCGGTTCCTAAAATCCACCATCCCACTGCAAGACATCCTTAAAATGTCACGTAAACTTTGCATGCATTTCAGCCATTCCTACACCGCAAAGCACACCCTCCTTGAGCTGCAGCGGCAGAACAGAATTCCACAGCATCGCCTGATCTGCGACGTTGCAACAAGGTGGAATTCAAC